ACAATACACGAATTGAACCATTCGGTACGAGGCTTTCGGTTCGGTACGCATTACAAACCGAACGATTCGTTGGACTAATCCTATTACATTTGGAAAATGAAAGGGCTTAAAATGTGTGAAATATAATGTTCTCAGTGCCACTGGTCTTAACAAGGCAGCCCAAATGACGTAACAGGCAACGTGCTGGGGTGCGTCGAAAGACGAGGATCTTGTATCGACGATAGCCAGAGATAGTCAAAAACATCAATTATTGGCAATATTAAGAGGATTTGGCATTTTCAATTAATGTAGCCCCGTTACATTCTTATTTTTATTAGGCCTATTATTATTATTATTATTATTATTATGAAGTTACTTTTATTATTACATTTTATTATTAAATTAAAATTACAATTAATTTTCCCCCGCAATATTACCACATAACTGACGCGCTGCGAGGATAACAAAAGATAAGGCTATTTGCTCCTCAATTAAAATGTTTTAAAAAAGGTATTTTAAAACAGGTCTATTATACAATTAATTATAGGCCTATAATTAAAATATTAACACTGCAGTCATAAATAAAAATCAATGAAATAAAAAGCTTTATTTAGCCCATTTAAAGTGCCGACTTTCAAAAACAACCTGTTTAACACCAAATTCGTTTCTTCAAATTTAAAAAAAAATGTTTTACCATGTACGGACCACAAGAAAAATATTAAGGGAATAAATTAAAACAGTTAGCTATATACCGTTATCAGCATATGTTGAAGTAGATTCGTCTCTCGTCGTCTCTGAGAATATGCGGCGTCAGATGGCGAAAACTCCGTCATTACGCTTTTACTTTCTAGTGCTATTCATTGGCTCGCCTTCATGGTATAAAACATACACACACACACACGCTATGTTAATATATAAACAAAAATGAAATATTCTGAGCAATTCTTTAGAGGAAAAATATCTTAAATATTTTATTTTAATATTATATATTAAATATTATTATTATTATTATATTATTTTAAACTTTTTTCTTCAAATTTTACAATAATTTCATGTTTATATATTTAATTTAATGTTTTACAAAGATTTAAATTTTACATTTATATAACAAAATATAAATAAACTAACTTTTAAAGCTATATCACCCAGACCTAGTACTGACCAGCAACAATTGAACCAAACATTTGAGAGTTAGGAGTTTTGTTTTCTCACAATATTATTTCAAATGAAGAAATACAATAGTTATGAATTCAAATCACAAAACTCCTATACACTGACTCTACAAGCCATGGCCTTAACATTAACACCCATGGACAAATTTGCAATAAGCAAATACTTCAAATACCTCAAATAACAGTACAGGAACCATAAGCATTGTAGAGTTAGAGATAGAGTTTTTAAACAGAAGAATGAGTCATATAGTGTGTGAACTGAAGATACAAGACCTTATTCAGAGCGGGTGAGGGGGGATTATGGGTAATGGGGGAGGGGCACAGGCACAGGCAGAGACCGCAGATGAATTACATTGAAGTCATGTCGTTGAGAGCGTGGTCCAGCTCCTCGCTGATGGCTTTGTACTTGAGTTTCTGGGAATACAACTCATCTATCGGGATTTGGGACGGTGTGTTTGATGGAGGGGAGACAGAGGAAGAGGTGGAGGGAAGGGATAAAAACAGGTGCAGGAGTGAAGCATCCAATCCAGCGGCAAGACGAGCCCCGGTGAACCGAGTGACAGACAGCGAGAGAGTGACGTGAAGACAGAGAGAGAGAGAGAGAGAAAGAGTGGAGGGAAAACAGAAAATAAAGTTAAAGGAGGAATGGAAAGGAACTGAAACACAAGGCAAAGACCATGACAAATTCGTCAGAGTCACCGTGAAACCCCAAACAGGGTCGCTCACAGGTCACTTAACGAGATGTTAAATGAATTCTGTCATAATTTATTCACTCATGTCATTCATTTAAAACCTGTAGGACTTTAATTCTTCGGTGGAAAACAATGTCAGCAAAATGCCCAGAATGCTCTTTTCCCACCTGTTGAAGCTTTTAAATCTCATTTAACTCATTATGGCTTTTCTAGATGTCATTCCAGGTGCCACTGGTTTCTGCGTTTCTTGTCATTTGTCAAACCTTCATGTTTTTAATATTTTGTATACTTTTTATATAGTGCAAAAGTCATTAGCTATGTTTCCATCCACCTATTTTTATGCGCATTTTGGATGGAAACGCCAAGATGCGCATTTAAAAATAAATAAATAAACTTACGCGCTCAACTAAGTAGGATAATTTTCTTATCCGGTAAGAAAACATGCACATAAAATCGATGGAAACAATTTTACCGAATAAATTCCTTCACGCGCATCATGTGACTTTGCGATGGGACAGCATACCTGGACCGACCAATGGACTGATCTCATTGCACAGCATCTGAAATGCTAGTTTTGTCATTCTAAAATGCTTGGGCAAAGTCTCATCAAAGTGCTTCGTTATAATTAACTTCAAGCACTGCGTTCCCAAACAGCAGGCTCCGAAAATAAGATTACATGACCATGCTTCATCTGTGCGCTCTGAAGCTCGTAATTTATTGTAATAAATTATTATATACAGTGCCTTCTCCTAATGCAGCAAATTAAATTTCTCTTCGTGATATTTAAGTTAATCAGGAAGTGACGCTTTTGTACTCTTCAACTCACTGGATAGAAACCGTGCTTTATTCGCAAATGTTTTATGCGATATTCCAATTTTGCGCACAAGTTTATTTCGTAACTTTGGATGAAAACATAGCTACTGACTACTTTTACAGTACTTTCTGTCAGGTTGTGTTTTAACACATACCAATAATATGAAATAAATGCACTTTAAATGTAAAAATATTTTTTAAATAAGTCTGTTCACCAAAGCTGCATTTATTTGATCAAAAATACAGACAAATCGTGAAATATTATAATTTAAAATAACCGTTTTCTATTTGAATATATTTTAAAATGTAATTTATTCTTGTAATGCAAAGCTGAATTTTCAGCTTCATTACTCCAGTCTTCAGTGTCACATGATCCTTCAGAAAGCACTCTATACTGATTTTCTGCGCAAAAACATTATCGACTTAGAAAGCAGTTATGCTGCTTATTTTTCTGGAACCCGTAATGCATTTTTTTCAGGATTCTTTAAAGAATAGAAACAGCATTTATGTAAAACAGAAATCTCTTGTAACAGATGTCTGTACTGTAACTTTTGATCAATTTAATGCGTCCTCTATGAATAAAACCATTTCTTACGTGGAAAAAAAAAAAACTTAAACAGTTGTGTAAATATTCCTTCATGGTGCTTTTATTTTCATTTTGGGACTCATTTTCAGTTCCTATTATGGGAAGGGAGCACTCAGGGAATTCATGTGTGAACTAACTGTTTATGTTCCACAGAAATAAATTAAATAAAACAGGTTCGACATGAACGCAAATAAATAACAGTTTTCATTTTTGGATAAACTATCCCTGTTAAGGTTCTTACTGATGCCTCTCTGACCGGGATATTGAATTATCACAGATACATTAACAAAGTGCAAATATGGCGGTACAGTTATGAAAATGAACTTGGGCTTGTGTAAATCCAAATACGAGCAGAACAGGAGAAGACTATTTAACAGCAGCGTATAAAAGCCTAATCAAGTTTAAATGCTGCGTGTAATTGGACCTCAGTAACACGAGTGTCATCTTACAAAACAATGTGAAGTCTGTGTGTGTGGATCTGCACAATGACTGGTCTCTCCGAAAGAGGTGATGCTTAATTGTGCAACTGAACCGATAAGGAAGCTGAAAGAAGGCCAGTAGGGCAGAAGGTTTGAGGAACAGAATGACGGTAAAAAAAAAGAAAGAAAAAAGGCTGAAAGCTTTATGACCTGAAGCGAAAGGAGTAGTCGCACTGAATACTTCACAATCACACGTATGAATGAAAATTTGACAGGGGCTGAAATGACTCGAATGAACGAAAGTCGTACCTTCAAGGTCATCAATGGTCTTCTCAAGCTTGGTGACTGACCTCTCAGAGAACTCGGCACGGGTCTCGGCCTGCAGCAGAAAAAAATAATTGAGACTGCTGGGACAGTCATTTGTAGCTAAAAAAAGTATTTAAATCCCCAGAACTGGTGGGGAAAAAATCTAATCAGATAAGTTATTATTGTGTGTGATATATACACAGTAACAGTGATCTAAAACTATTCATATAGTGATATAAGACTTGATATACTTGCCCCCCCTGGACAGAAGGATGACTAAATACCATGAAAGATGTTCATACCTCCTTTAGTTTGTCAGTGAGGACCTTGATCTCCTCCTCGTATTTGTCTTCTTTCTGTGAGTACTGAAGACATCATAAGAGGGACAGACATCAAAACACACACCAGCACATGAGCATTTAACACTACATTAGCACTCCGCTCAATAACACTCTTAGGCTTTGTTACTGCACATAAACCAGAATTTTTTTCTCCAATTCTCATATCTATGACTGATATCTCATATCTTTCGCATGCCAATGTTCCTGAAAAAAAATAAATAAAAAAAATTATATGTTTTTAATATTTTGTATACTTTTTATATAGTGCAAAAGTCATTAGCTATGTTTCCATCCACCTATTTTTATGCGCATTTTGGATGGAAACGCCAAGATGCGCATTTAAAAATAAATAAATAAACTTACGCGCTCAACTAAGTAGGATAATTTTCTTATCCGGTAAGAAAACATGCACATAAAATCGATGGAAACAATTTTACCGAATAAATTCCTTCACGCGCATCATGTGACTTTGCGATGGGACAGCATACCTGGACCGACCAATGGACTGATCTCATTGCACAGCATCTGAAATGCTAGTTTTGTCATTCTAAAATGCTTGGGCAAAGTCTCATCAAAGTGCTTCGTTATAATTAACTTCAAGCACTGCGTTCCCAAACAGCAGGCTCCGAAAATAAGATTACATGACCATGCTTCATCTGTGCGCTCTGAAGCTCGTAATTTATTGTAATAAATTATTATATACAGTGCCTTCTCCTAATGCAGCAAATTAAATTTCTCTTCGTGATATTTAAGTTAATCAGGAAGTGACGCTTTTGTACTCTTCAACTCACTGGATAGAAACCGTGCTTTATTCGCAAATGTTTTATGCGATATTCCAATTTTGCGCACAAGTTTATTTCGTAACTTTGGATGAAAACATAGCTACTGACTACTTTTACAGTACTTTCTGTCAGGTTGTGTTTTAACACATACCAATAATATGAAATAAATGCACTTTAAATGTAAAAATATTTTTTAAATAAGTCTGTTCACCAAAGCTGCATTTATTTGATCAAAAATACAGACAAATCGTGAAATATTATAATTTAAAATAACCGTTTTCTATTTGAATATATTTTAAAATGTAATTTATTCTTGTAATGCAAAGCTGAATTTTCAGCTTCATTACTCCAGTCTTCAGTGTCACATGATCCTTCAGAAAGCACTCTATACTGATTTTCTGCGCAAAAACATTATCGACTTAGAAAGCAGTTATGCTGCTTATTTTTCTGGAACCCGTAATGCATTTTTTTCAGGATTCTTTAAAGAATAGAAACAGCATTTATGTAAAACAGAAATCTCTTGTAACAGATGTCTGTACTGTAACTTTTGATCAATTTAATGCGTCCTCTATGAATAAAACCATTTCTTACGTGGAAAAAAAAAAAACTTAAACAGTTGTGTAAATATTCCTTCATGGTGCTTTTATTTTCATTTTGGGACTCATTTTCAGTTCCTATTATGGGAAGGGAGCACTCAGGGAATTCATGTGTGAACTAACTGTTTATGTTCCACAGAAATAAATTAAATAAAACAGGTTCGACATGAACGCAAATAAATAACAGTTTTCATTTTTGGATAAACTATCCCTGTTAAGGTTCTTACTGATGCCTCTCTGACCGGGATATTGAATTATCACAGATACATTAACAAAGTGCAAATATGGCGGTACAGTTATGAAAATGAACTTGGGCTTGTGTAAATCCAAATGAGCAGGACAGGAGAAGACTATTTAACAGCAGCGTATAAAAGCCTAATCAAGTTTAAATGCTGCGTGTAATTGGACCTCAGTAACACGAGTGTCATCTTACAAAACAATGTGAAGTCTGTGTGTGTGGATCTGCACAATGACTGGTCTCTCCGAAAGAGGTGATGCTTAATTGTGCGACTGAACCGATAAGGAAGCTGAAAGAAGGCCAGTAGGGCAGAAGGTTTGAGGAACAGAATGACGGTAAAAAAAAAGAAAGAAAAAAGGCTGAAAGCTTTATGACCTGAAGCGAAAGGAGTAGTCGCACTGAATACTTCACAATCACACGTATGAATGAAAATTTGACAGGGGCTGAAATGACTCGAATGAACGAAAGTCGTACCTTCAAGGTCATCAATGGTCTTCTCAAGCTTGGTGACTGACCTCTCAGAGAACTCGGCACGGGTCTCGGCCTGCAGCAGAAAAAAATAATTGAGACTGCTGGGACAGTCATTTGTAGCTAAAAAAAAGTATTTAAATCCCCAGAACTGGTGGGGAAAAAATCTAATCAGATAAGTTATTATTGTGTGTGATATATACACAGTAACAGTGATCTAAAACTATTCATATAGTGATATAAGACTTGATATACTTGCCCCCCCTGGACAGAAGGATGACTAAATACCATGAAAGATGTTCATACCTCCTTTAGTTTGTCAGTGAGGACCTTGATCTCCTCCTCGTATTTGTCTTCTTTCTGTGAGTACTGAAGACATCATAAGAGGGACAGACGTCAAAACACACACCAGCACATGAGCATTTAACACTACATTAGCACTCCGCTCAATAACACTCTTAGGCTTTGTTACTGCACATAAACCAGAATTTTTTTCTCCAATTCTCATATCTATGACTGATATCTCATATCTTTCGCATGCCAATGTTCCTGAAAAAAAATAAATAAAAAAAATTATATTTTATTTATATATATATATATATATATATTCTTTATATATTCAGACTGTGTAATCCATAGATAAAAACCACTGACATGTAAATTACCAAAGATGTGGGACTATTTTCACAGATGAAAATGTGTTCGTTTGTGTCTTTAATATGTACTAGGGCTGTCAAATCGATTAATCGCATCCAAAATATAATTTTGTTTACATGAGGAGTATGTACTGTACACATTTATACACACACACATATATATTTAAAGGGGTCATATGATGCAATTTCAAATTTTCCTTTCTCTTTGGAGTGTTACAAGCGGTTCGTGAATAGATAAGATCCCTAAAGTTGCAAAGACTAAAGTCTTAAACCCAAAGAGATATTCTTTATAAAAGTTAAGACTTGTCCAAGCCCTCCTAAAATGCCTCGTTTAAACACGTCCCCACATGTCTACATCACTATGTGGGAAGATTTGCATAACACCGCCCAAATGTTCACGCAAAGAAAGAAGGCTTAACTTTGATTTTCA